TAAAAAAATTATTTTCTAGAATGAAATTCAAGGCAGACAAACTTAAAAATGCTATCATGTATACAAGATACAAAAACTGGCTAAATCAAATTATACTTATATTATATTTTACTAGCTAAAGTGAACAAATGTCAAAAACTGTGTTGAATCGAATATATATCAATCATTTTTTCAAAGAAATAAAAAAAAAAAGAAAAAAAAAAAAGAAGAGACTGCGATAGAAAGTGGTCGAAGACGCACTTGAAAAAAGAAGATTATGTTTATATTCATTGATTTTCGAGGACAAGTAAACTCGTCCAAAACTCGATCCAAGAGCTTCTTTTTTCCTTTTTTTTTTTTTCGCCAACAAAGTGAAATTTATAATAAATGGGAGTATAAGGGTCATCCAACTCTTCATGAACATGCCTCAAAATTCTCTCAACATGCAAAACAAATAAATCGCAAAATACATAAATTCAAGCTAAAACAAGTTACTTGATCCTATACCTGTCTTGCCCTCTTCACAGCTTCCCTGTATTCATTCACAGCTCTAGCACAATCCCGAAAAGTAGAAGTGCATCCCTTAACTTTATTTTTCAACCAAGTAAAAGATTTCATGAATTTTCTTCTACAAACAGACAAGCTACCCTTTAAGGCCATTTTCTACGTAAAATGCTTGCAACTAATTGGATGCTAAACATGTAATTATGCGAGGCAAAAAATTTATGTTAGGGCTTATGATCGAGTACTCAAGATTTTATGTATTTGGACTGCATTGGAAGATGATTAATTTGTTTTCCCCTACAAATGTGTCCAAGGATTCCTTTTAACTAATTCTAAACACCAAAGGCAATATTGTTCATTAATCTACCATCTAATTAACAGATGCACCTCAAGTAATGATATGTGCTTCAGCAAGAGTCAAAATGTCTAATGCATTAGATTTTTGCTTTTTCTAAGTAAAAGTTTCTCTTTCCAACTAAAAGTTTCTCTTTCCAACTTGTAGCATTATTGAGTGATTATATCATTCCTATGCCTCACTATTGGCTTGAACACATAATTTGATCACATATATGAATTAAACACCCAAACAAATATTAAATAAATAGACTAAGGATCCACTTTCATATAACTCTTACACATATTAGTTACACAGAATCTTGACCATTTGTCTCTACACTATGAATGATTAAGATTTATGACAACTTTGTAGATAACAAAGAAAAATATATTTAAAAATAGGATAAAAAGTATATAAATCTCGACCATTCATCACCATTTATGATAGAAAATTGAATGATTATTGGCTAAAAGTTGTGTGTAAGTGAATTCCAACTCATAAATATATAACAAAAATAAGAAAAACATAAATATTTACCCAACACTTGAAAAGCGAACACTTAGCGATGACAAATTAACCATATAAAATGAAAATCTAATAAGTCTAATAGCATGTAGCTGAGAAGGTAAGGAAGATTTCTATGTCTCATAAAAGCATACATTCACAGATTCCTTCTAACACGCAGGCTACATTTACTTTAATTAGCCATGCACCAATGAATTGCTTAGACTCATATCTATAGGATATATACTACAAGAAATTAATGAGTTCATAACTACTTTTGTAGTCCCAAACTTCTATAGTAAAGATTGGAGTGTTTAAAACAATTCCTAAAGCACATGATAATACACCATATATATATATATATATATGAGGACAAAAATATTCTGAGATTTAATATCTAAAAATTAATGTGTAAATTGAGATGGTGGCAGGCTAGAAGACGAAGACCAACTGTTTGTTCTTTGTCCAAAAGTACAGAAGCTTTGGATGAGGTGTTACAATTGGTGGGGTTTATCTCTTGCTCTTCCTGAATCGGTACAGCCTTTGAGCAATTTCCATAGTCAAGGAATTAAGAAATTTGTGAAGGCTAAGGTTTGGTACTTTATATTTCTGGTGGTGGCATGATCAATATGGTTTATGAGAAATTTTATGGTTCACAACTCCAACCCTTGGGATGAAGATATGCTATTTGAGATGATTAGAAGATGAACCTATGCTATGTGCGGTAAGTCAGAAGGTAATAAGTTTTCCTACCATCAATGGTGCACTGTGCATTACTTATGTACTCAGGAAACTTGAAAATAGAGGGTGCCTTGGATGATGCAGCAGTGTGCATCCTAATAAATGTTGTAGTGTTTTGTATTACCATATATGTATGAATCAACCAACGTGTTTTGTATTCCTTTATCTTGGCATTGTGGATTATGGTAACAATTAGATTTATGTAATGGCATATATGAGTACATAGGAGTACGCCTTGTACTCAAAATTAATAGAATTTTTTATTCATCTAATGAAAAAGAAATGGTGGCACGCAGGCTAAAAACTAGAATTACAGTTTTTAGTTCCTAGCAGTGAAGCTTTTGCAAACCCTAATAGACATGTTTGAGAAAGGCAAAATGCACCCAAATGGATTTGTTCCAGCAGCAAAGCATATCATGAGAGTCATTCTTGATATTTCATCAAAAGAAATGAACTCAAAAACAAATAGGAAGAAAAAATCAAAGCAAATGGTAAGATTTCCTAATGGCACCGAGGAAGCACAGATCCACATTTTTTATCGACCAAGTACAAATGCACAGAATGAGCAATTTATGAAAGAGGAACAAAAAAAAACTTGCAAAACCTGTCTATTGATCAACATATATAGTAAAAAGAAATAATCAATTGAAGAACTTGGTTGGTATAATTAAAAATAACATACTCGGAGCTTGAGAACTTATAAAGTTTTCCATTTTGTGAGAAGATGATAACTGCCACTTCGACATCACAGAGAACAGATAGCTCAAAAGCCTTCTTAAGCAGCCCATTTCGACGCTTCGAGAAGGTCACTAGTCTGCTTGCTCCATTCTCGATCCTTTTCATCACAATTTTTCCTCTCACCATCTTCTACTTCATCATCAGAGTCACGTCAATCAGTAACCTTAGACGAGGATCAGATTTTTTTTTTTTTTTTCAGGAAAAAAGACACAAATACTCACCAAAATTGAGCAAAGTCCCCAGATATATATTGAGTAGTTATGCAGTGTGTAGCTAATACTAAAGTTTCAACCTTTGCAAAGAAAAATTACAAATTCTGAAGAGATTAATAATGACAACTCAGAGGAAGTTTTTAAAAGCACAGAAAAAGAAGGAAAACCCAGAAAGAAAGTATCCTAAATTTTCTAGGAAAGAAACGAGGTTTCATCTTTCCAGGTGCAAAGAAAGAAGGACAAACAAAAAAAAAAAAATCACTGGAAAAGGCCAAAATTTGCTAGGAAACCAAACAGCAACCACCCTGGAACATGCTTGGGAACAAAGGGAGGAATCAAAGAAGGGAGAAGTTCAGAAACCCTAGAAAGACGAGCAGAAACGCATAGGATCTAGCCTATCTTTATTGTCAAAGCCCAAAACTCCTCATTTTCTTTCCGTTCTCCTTTGTCATTCGCCACAAAAAGACAAAAAAAATCCATACCCAGTTAAAAGCATTTTAACTCATCTTCCCAACCTGTTCTGGTAATATTGAGAAAAGAAAAAGGAGAAGAAGAGAAAGATGGACGGTAAACACCCAAAAGAGGAAAAAGGAAAGTAACAAAAAAAATAGTAGTATTTCTTGTTGAAAAAGGACAATAACCAAAAAAAAAAAAGGAAATGGTATATCAATCTTGCTCCGTTATATATTGATGATTTTTTGTTACTTGATTGTTAAACATCGACGATTCACTAAAATGAATTACTATTTTGTGTACAAAATTAACAAAAAATTAATAAATTAAGTAATAGAGAATTAATATGTAATTGAGAAAGATGTAGGTATTATTGTTCAACAAAAAAAAATAATAGTATTTCATGTCAACATCAACAATGATGTGCACAACGGGCCAACGGTGTCTTGACAACGCATCACATTAGATCGACCAATGGGGGAGGCGACCGTGTCACAGGCTTGCCTTGAATGGATTGGCTGAAACCAATAGCTTGAGAAGAAAGTAGTTCGGTCTTGTTTGTAAGTAAATTTTTGAGAAGAAAATTTTTCCTTCTTTGTTATAAAGAAAATAATAATAATAATAATAATATGTAAAAATAAAAAAATAATAATAAAATGTAGGTACCATCAAAGAGTTTAGTTAAGGTAACCCTCATCAAATTAAAAATTTTGATTTAACTTAGTTTTAAACACTTGCAATACTAGATAATTAACTCTTAATAAAAAAAATTTATGCAAGACATTACTAAGGAAGATGTGTCCTCATTACATTCCTAATGTTAAAACAAATGATTTAACAAAGTTTCTAGGTAATTTTATACTTTTAATTATATTCTTATAATGTATAACAAATTGGAGTACATCTTGTGCTCTTTTTAATAATATTTATAATCTTTCTCACTGATTGTAAAAAAAAAAAAAAGATGTGTCGATATAATAAGTAATATAACATGTCCATAGAACTTTAAAAATATTTTGCATAATTAGAACTATATACTAACAATTATATGAGGTGAGCACCTCAAATCTAATAATTTTAATTATACAGAATGTCACATCCTATATTGCAAAAGCAATAACTCAAAACTTTCATGTGCATGTATTGATAAGGTATAACTTTTTCCTATTTATTTATAATTGTGGGATTTGGTTTATAATTATGTATATTACTATTGTTTGGTTGAGCTAATGTACACTAATTTAAAATTTTTGAATTGAGCTCAAGATCATAATTCAAACTTTTTAAATACCTAGTACTCAACTTTCACTAATATACAAAAAATATATGTATCACCCTTTGGAATGTGTCAACCTATAATTATATGTTATGCAACTCGTTAATGCTATATTAATGATCTTCTCTTTTAACAATGAGTTTACCTAAAAATTAGAATAAAATATTTGTTCACCTTTAGTTGACCTAATTTTTTTTTTCTCCAATAAAGTAAGGATGTAATAATAATTAATAAAACTTTATATTTGTTCCCAATTAGCCACTACTTAAATAACCATCATTATAAAACATGTTGTAATTAACTAATTATGTTCTTAAAATAAGGGTAAAGTATGAATAAATACACTTAATGACAATTTTAAAATTAAAAGTGAAGAATTAATTTTAAACACCTAAATTAAAAACTAATTCAACTAAAGCTGAATAAAGAACATACTTAAATTTAGAAAGAGGGTGAATAGTGACTTGTGGGTTTCTGTTGAGGAATTTTTCATTAAAACATTGATTAGTATACTATCAAATTCAAGACACTTCATAATATACTCATTAAAAATTATTTTTAAAAATTAAAATGAAAATTAAACAAACTTAAACATGTAATTATACACTTAGCATGCATGAACCACCTGAATTGATTATTCTTATATTATATTTTAATAATTAAATTAAACAAATATCTAAGAGTGTCATATTAGAAAGTATAACAATTATTATCCTTTTTATCTTGGTAAAATTGCTGAGGAAATCAAACCTCCAAAAATAGAACGCTACTGAGGAAATTTGACTGATGGATAAAAATTTTAGAAAATTTTCATTTTAAAAAGGGGTTTTCTCAATATGATTTTAAAATTTTGCTTATACTGGAAGTGGCGAGTTGGAGCTGGATGTTGCCATTTATACATATAGGTGGATTGGTCTTAGGTTTCTTTGTCTCATCAGTCACCTTGCAGTTTTCGTTTTGGGCCCTCAATTTGGAGGCTAATGCCTGATGGCGCCACTAGTTGAATGCTGATTTTGGGAACAATAACCTCTAATTTCTTTTCTTCTGTCCAGTAAAATCTAAATCTAATAACTCTTTCATATTGTCAACAACTTAAATGACTTAATAATAATCTCTTTTCGATACAAGAAAAAGTTCTGAATTCAAATCATATAACATACAATTGAGGTGGAATAAAGATAGGAAAATGTTACTTACCATTGTGCAACCAACATAAAATAATAATAATAATAACTCCTCACATTTTTCCCATAAATCAGGTGATTTAGTAGTAAAATTATCCATACTTTTAATTATATATTTAGAGTTAAACCTCAGTCTCTGCATACAAAAAAAAAAAAAAACAATCTCTTTACATTTTTCTTATTATTCGATGTATTAATTTTTTCAATTTTAATCATGTAATTACTGAGATTGATCAAATGAAAATTGATGTTTTTATTTACAATAGTAAATTACAAAAGTAGAATTAAAAAAATTAAAAAAATAATTTATTACTAAAATCTCTAAAAAATTTAAATAACATATACTCTAAAATTAAATCATTTTAATAAATTTATTTTTAAAAAATATTAAAACAATTTATTTTTAAAATAAGAACGAAAATATTTTGATTTTTTTCCCCGTGCATAGTCTCCTAATACCCAGCAGCATCATTATAATTTTTATGGTGATTTTACACTATAATTACATTTAGATCATATACAATTGAAGAAAATATTAAAGAGAAAAATAGTGGACTAACCAACCACATGCATCGATCATACAACATTATTCGGGAAACACAATAATTTCTACCATAAAATAATTCAGATGATTGATATTAATGGTTTTGGGACGATTCGATTAACAATTTTGTCAAAACCTCCACGCACTAGTTATTTTGGGTGCAATCATTTATTGCTTTCCTTTGTTGGGTTTATCAGTTGGTGCTACAGCTTTCCACCCCCACACTACTATCAAATATCAAAAGAGTTAGATAATTTATTTTCTATTAAAATAGTATTTAATAGTCCAAATTGTATCATATTATAAAATATAAAACATTAGATGAAGGGGGTCTTGATTGTACGATGGCCTCCATCATCCAACACCCTACACTCAGCTTTTGCATTCGAGTGCTAGTTTGGACTGCAAAATTGTGGGGTTTTGTTTTTTCAAGTAAAAAACGAGCTCCAACATTTGGAAATGAGAGGTTCACCTTTTGGTATAATTTCACATTTTCTCCTAACATCATTCTCTCCTAAATTAAAAAATATATATTATAGAGGAAAAAAAAAAAAAAGGTACACTGTTGATAAACTTAGAGCTAGAAGTTTGAGGAAGTAATGTATATATTTAATTCAATGGAGGGAGTTACTCTGACCTTTGCTTTTAGTTCCTTTATGTGCTCCACATATGACCGGGCCTATAATATAGAATATAAGATTTTTACTCCATGTACTTTTATGCAAGCAAACACAATTTTCAAGTATTGTGTAAGAATTGTGTGTAGGTAGATGCATGGCACAAAGAAGAATCTAGTACACTAAAGAAATTTAGATCAATGAAATGAGGTACGTTGAGCCAAAGTCCCATACATGTAGGTAGATGGCACAATCAATTTATTACAGGGTATCTTAGAGACTCCCACCCAGCAATTCCACAACATGGAGGAGACCTTGGACCACATAAATGGTTAAAGTAATGTGGGTTGCAGCTTTATCCACGAGTATAACCTAAGGAGGAGCCCAGTTTGAGGAAATGTGACTGTTGTATGTCTCTGAGGGTCCAATGACGGTACAAATACTCTATAAATATGCCAAAAAGCTCATTTGATGGTAACTCAAATGCTAATTTTCCATCAAAAGTAGAAGTCTTGTAATCATGTGTTGATTCATTAATGTAACCACTTTTAGCCTAAATGCAAATCTAAAGGTTGCAAACCTTTCTTGCCCCAATGTTTTTCAAGCTTTGTACCCGCTGCCTACCAATCTCTTGAAGTTCCTTGACAGAACATGAGCCCAATCCTTGACCCAACAGCTTCCTGTATAACGTTGAAACTTCATACTTTAGAAATCCTCTCATCAGGATGAGGTGAAGTAACATGACATAAGCATTAAATCAATATTGAACCTTTTAGAAACTTCCAGGAACTCAATCTTCTTAAACATATTTGCTGTTTCAATCCTCAAGTGCTGCGCTTCGAAATTTTTTCGAGGAAACCGCAAAGTACTATTAGCAGCTGTAGGCTGGTAATTGATTATAACTCATGAAGTCAACTGTTTGATGAGAGCAATGAAGAAGTAACGTAGATTATATATAGAGAAATTAAATCCTATGTATCGAAGAATTAAGCCACAAAAACTATCTAAAACAAAAGATTGCATGGATTTGATTAATGCTTGAAAAGACTAGATCAAATTGATGAAGTATTATAAGTTTTTAACCATATTTTGGACAGCGCCCTTGGCAACTTGTTTATAGGAGACTAGAATAAGCACTTGTCTGAGCTTAAAAACTCTTCACTTCCTAAATCATGGAATTATAATCCAAAACCATGATAAAAACAACAAAAGATGCAGACTAGCAACAAAGTTAACTTTTAAGACAATGATTGGTGCATCATTTGATTCAATACATATCACAACCCACTCATTAAGAAATTATTATGTTTAAATTTGAATTCAAGGCAGGAAAAATTTCACTTGCAAAATTTAATGGCTAAACCAGTAGGTATTAGTAGATGTGTTCAACTAGAGAGTGTATCAATTATTATCCTAATTTTTATTCTAATCCACTACAAATTAAGTATGCATCACCATGCTTAACTCAGATTGTATAAGGATCCCCCACTCAAACACAAAACCTTATGATATACGTTCTTAACTATAATTGTTTCAGTTTTCTATGAAAAGCAATAAATTTTGAACTTGCCCTTTTCTTGGAAAAATATTCATGGAAAATTAATCTGTACAATGAAAGCTGGGGGTCTAACCTGCATGCGTCCCTCCTTTTCAGGCTTCCAAGTTGCAATTTCTTTTGTATACATAAAGTATCGTTCAATGACGTTTTGCTTGCTAAAGCATTTCACAAAAATATATTGTCATCAATTCATGTTATCAGTTTCCCAGGAATGAATGAGTAAAACAGAAAGAAAAGCAGATATATCCTATCAGCAGGCAATTTCATTAATTAATTAATTAATTAACAATTTGCAAACAATTTCATAAATTAACAAGTGCGCAAGCACTCAAAACCACAAAAGTTCCAGACCCTTCCTAGTTACTGAAGAGCAGAATAACAACATTACATACTTTTTTTAGATGAATCAAAAATATCATTAGTAGGAGTAGAACGGGTACTCCACTCTTAAACTTACAACCACAAGCCGTCCATATATAGAATCACATACACTAAGTTCAGCTTTGCTAACATTTAAGACTAAGACCTCAGCTACTTCAGCAAGGATTTCAGCGTTTCCTTCAAATTTCCTTAGCACAAAGTCGTGGGAAAAAAACACCAGTGATGTTACTAGAACACACAACATTACATACTTTTCTCAACCAACAATCTAAGCCTAAAACATGAATATGCCAAGAATGAAGATGCATCCACAGAATGGCCACCTCAAACAAGTTAGACTATATACCTAAAACACAAGAATAACAGATTATAGACATTTAATTTGAATGTAGTAAGGATAATTAGTTTTATTATTATTATTTATTTGGATCTTTTAACTAATTCTAAACACACACAAGTAATATTGTTCTTTAATCTACCACCCAATTAATAGATGCACCTCAAGTAATAATATGTGCTTCAAAAAGAGTCGAAATGTCTAATGCATTAGATTTTTGCTTGTTCTAAGTAAAATTTTCTCTTTCCTAGTTATAGTATTATTGAGTGATTATATCATTCCTATACCTCTCACTATTGGCTTGAACACCTGAACACATAATTTGATCACACATATGAATTAAACACTCAAAATAAAGATTATATAAATAGAGTTAGGATCCTTCTTCCCATTACTCTTACACACATTAGTTACACAAAATCTGAACCATTCATCTTTTC